GGCCATTTCTAACCCTATCCTGAAAATTTTATGCATTAATTATTAATTAAAGTAACTGAATCGCTGGATCACGCACCCAAAATTAATCAATCTAAGTACCCCATTTGGACCTATCCTGAAAAATCTTATTAATAATTAATAATTGATCCGGATCCCACCGAAAATCTCAGCATTCTAATAGGCGATTTCTGAACCTAACCTGAAATTTATGACAGCATCCGTCCATAACTGTTTTCAGTTGGCGTTATCACAACAAACACCACCAAACCCAGCCAACAAACCGTCAACACACGCCGTGAAGAACAACTCGTCTGCCCAACACCTTGCGATGATTAAAATAATAAAGTCCAGCACACACATATATAGAAGTATATATATAATATAAGTATATATAGTAATATGATTAAGTAGTCAAGAGTGCATAATAGAGGATCAAGAGTGCAATCAATAGATTGCAAGAGTGCAAAAATAAGAAACAATAAAATAAGAGACTAAGAGACTCTTAAGACACTAAAGAAACATAAATATAAGCCCTACTCTTTGATTCTTGCACGCGTATATATCGATCTGATTATCCACTTCGGAATACCTATATATAGAGTATAACAAATACACTAACATTATCCCTGCCGCCCGTGATGCAGCATGAAATAAATACTCGTAAAACGTAGAAGGTAGTAAAGTTAAATAAGTCACAAAGAGCAAAGTGTCAACACACTCAATCTGCCGAGATGCAAGAGTAAATTGTGATGCCTTATGGAGTGTTTACGTCACGAATCTCTTCCTGGAAATTTATATGAAACCTTAGTTTTGTCAATTGTTTACATCAAAGTTAGTACCTGAACGTACTAGTAAAATATATCCTCAAACTCTCATCTGCTAAAAATGCTTTACGTGGTAAATTTGCAAACATCTTGACCGATTTGAATTAGTGGTATAAACACTATTTACGCCAGTACGGTACATGCAGATACGGTCTCCTCGTGCTGCATCTGTGCCAGTGTGTCGAGTCACGGTTTGGTGTATGGTGCCACAAGTGGGCCAAACAGTCTGTTTGATTTGTATTTCATATAGATATAGAATTAGAAAAATAAATCAATTGCCGGGCAGACGACAGGCGGCTCACTAACGCTACCTCGTGACTCTGTGGGGAGTGGATGGGATCGTAGTAAACCCTGCTAGTGCCAAACAGTGCACATGACACGCCGAAACAGTGAATGCATCAGATGGCATCAGGAAGCATTCTCAAAAGAATGTTCGTTGGGATCGTGATGAAAGTCCACGAATGCGCCTACGTTTCAGTTGTCCGTGCAGATAAAATAGAAGCTGCCCATCCTACGTAGTAGTCAACACCATTTGCAAGAAGACAGAATAGGTACATCTTCCATACCTAACGGCAAGCCTGAAACAGGCTCCAAATGCAATAGCGAGCGCCACCGTGTAACCGAATTAAGGCAGGGCAAAAACTTGCACCAACACACTTACACTGGCAGCAGCCACTGGGCACGTGGCAATAACGTTAGCCATGATAACATACTGACATTACAGAAGTGACATAGAAAATATACATTTGAAAGGAACATACACCTTCTTTAAACGCAAAAGATATTAGCTTTGAAATTCACGGTGAACATTGTAGCTCATATCATCCAGGCAATTAATAAGGATCTAGCTAGCAAACGACCGGCCAGTGCTCCAATTCTTGTCTAAGAGCAGACATCAACCCAAATCCAAAGTTAACACCTCCTCCGTTGGGGTCAAAAGTTATCCCGAGGTGCACTTACTCTTCGCAGTCACAGAAGGACACTCCATGGCCTTCAATAAAGCCATAAAAAATCTAGGTCACGCCCGCGGAAACAAAAAGTTTTTCACATCCGCCGTCAGACCATGTCCTCAGAAAATGCTCAAATCTGCCCTGTCCCACTGACCTTGGACCTGGAGCCCATCCAAGTTCGCACAGTGATAGGCTTTCTCCTAACCATGATGCTATACCGCCGGATCTCTCACAGCCTAGTCAGAGCGTTTAGAGTTGTGCGCCAATTCTGACATTACCTCCTATACCTTAAGTTAAAGGGAGTGAATGTCACCCTTCTTTACAGTTCACACTCTGACCTTTGACCTTGACCCCGTCAGCCTTCGACATCCAACTCCGTTCGGATTACCCCCCCGCCCCCAACATCACTCGAATATGGGACCGCCGTGAGCCGAGCGTTAAGATTTGTGCCCGGACGGTTGACCGGTACGCACGACGGGCGGACGCTCGACGACGGCACGAGCGGCCACGCACGGGACATCCATTGCATGCTACAACTGGCATCTACTACGTCCAGATAGCTAATAATACTGTCATGTGTATAGTTGAAAAAAATTATATACATACAAACGCGAAATGCTAATTTGTGTTTTTTAATTCTGCCAACAAAATGTTGCGACATCCCGCTTCCCGATAGATCATTCTGCTAGATCAACTAACGTAAACAATGGGTAAGGCGCCACAGCCAGTTTTCAGATTCAGTGCAGGTGAATAAAGAGAAGAGAAAAACAGCAGGAAGAAGATTATACCTTGCGAAACTGCTTCGCTGTAATTTACAAGGAAGTTCCAGCTGCCCACAATAATTTTCCAAGCTCGTTTAACTGGCAGAGTGTCGTTATAATCGACTAGCTGCTGTCCTTGGCGCCACGGAAAGTTTCGAATTAATGGCGTTGGTTGTGTCGAGCGTTTGGTTAACATCGAAGCACGGCAAAGTAGGGAGTATAAAGAAGGTATATAAGCGATGAAAAGTAAACAGAAACACTAATTGTATTTTCATACATATTTATTGTGCAAATAACCACAAATATACTAGCTGTCGCTGTGCTAGAAAATATCGTGACGATAGACAGTAGCGGTTTCAAGCTTTAGTAATGGGCAACACCTCTCCAGCGCAAGATGTGAAAATATATGCGAAAGTTTGCGTCGCCTGGCTAGGTTGCAATTAAGGTGGGGCCGGATGTAATAGAAGGGATAAGGAAATATGATAAAGGTCAGCTTCACAGGCATGTCAAATAAGAGTTTGCAGTGACCTGTTTCGGGTACCGAACACACCTCCAAGATGTTAGAGTATTATCCAAGTTGGTCGCGCTAGGTCAATTAGGGTGGCCGACTATATAGCGAAAAAAAATATGAATCATGGTCAAAGGTCGAGGTCAAATAAAAAGCTCGCATGACAGGTTTGTGTACGCCGACACACTTCCCAAGAGTGTAAGTATATCCTAAGTTTGGACGCGCTAGGTCAATAAGGCCAAACTTATAGAGCGAAGAAGGAAAATAATGCAAGGTCAAGGTCAAAGGCAAATAACAGCCACAGTGACGGTTCTGTACGCGACACACAGGGTTCTCCACGCCAAAGATGTGTAAGTTTTTTGTAGCCAAAGTATGGTCGTCTAGGTTCAATTAAGGCCGATATTAAGGCGGAAGGGAAACTATATCACGGCAAGGTCAAATAAAGTCGCAGGTAACCTCGTTGTGTAGCACCGACATCACCTTCTCCCAAATGGTAGTATACAAGTTTGAGCGCTACGTCAATTAGGGGCCGGGAGTTATAGAGTCGGCAAGAAAAAAATGATAAGTCACCAGGTAAAGGTCAAATAAAGTCGTAGTGACCGTTTGGTACGCTGCGCACCTTCCCAAGATGTTAATATACCGAATTTGGTAGTGCAGTCAATTAGGGGCCGAGTTATAGACGGAGGAAATATGATACAAGGTCAACGGTAAAAGTCAATAAAGGTCGTAGTGACCTGGTTTATGGTACTGTGCTGCGACTCTTCGTCGCCAAGATGTGTAAGTAGACGCATGTTGCATGGCTAGTCAATAGGGTCGAGTTTTTTTCTATAGAGCGGGTAAGGAAAGGTGTCTGCGGCGTGCGGCGGCTGGACATACATGGAAAAAAAAACCATAGGTATCACGCGACGTTCGTACGCTGGGATAAAATAAATAAATAAATATATATATATATATATGTATATATATATATATAGCGTGATGATATGCAAGGTATTATATCAAGCTGTTGTTTTACAAATTATGGACAATCTGTATTAGGATTAGGAAAAAGGCAATATAAGGAATCATGGAGTTAGAGGAGGAATATATAATCTATCGATATACATTTATATACAATTATATTACAATTTTTATAGCTAACATGAACTTGGCTCTCATACGCAGTACACCTGACCATATGGCTGTCTACTATCAAATGAATAACAAATTTTGCAATGGTGATCAACAGCTTCATCGATTAGATTTTAAACTGGTGACCACGTTAATTTTAATTGCAGGTAGGCAGTTGGATTGTCGTCACAGGTGAGGTACATATTTGTAAGTCCGTCCAGAAAATTGCATGAGAGATGCCCAGCAATCTCCAGTGTATTTCCTGTATAAATTCACAGATGCTTTTAACGGATTCTGAAGGCAGGTATATGATGCAAGGTATATGATGCAATTTGCACAATTGTTCTAACTCATATGCAGAGGCCCATGCATTTTCTTCGCTCTGATTTTGAATTTCTTGCATTAGAAATAATTGCGGAAATGCACCTTTCAACTTGGTATGTGTGTACACACAGGCGCGCACACACACGCACACACACGCCCGCACGCACGCACACACACACACACGCACGCACACACGCACACACATACATATATATATATATAGGTATATATATATATATATCGCACTCATACATAACATACAACAAAATCATTATTGCCTCGTAGCTCGCCTTATGTCACATGTGTCACATGTGTCACATGCTAAAGGACTCGGAGTCTAGGACTCACAGACTTCAAAACAAAATCAACCCGAAGGAGACACTTGCTAACTCATTAAAAGTTCAAATGCTTTTACTGCTTGATAAACTTTTGGCAATCAAGTGCCTTTCAACGGAAATATGAGCAAAGATGGGTATAATAGCAAAAGCATGAAAGAGTGGGATGCACTCACTCACGTACGTACCTTCTTTTCCACTTGGTACGGGTATGAGTGAGGTGCAACTGGTGGGTCCATTCGAACATTCTCAGCTACATGCTTAGAACTTGTCTCCGCTTGCAAAATACATCCGGCCGCTGTAAAACGAAGCAGGAGCATTAGGTTTCCAGGCAGCAGTACGTAGAGGATAGCTACTGAAACAAGACACTGCCACGTTTATTCTCTGCCGGCTTACGCTGCCTTGCCAGTAACGTTATGCTATATCAGTAGTACGCAAACGCACGCACACACGCGCATACATATGCAGTACAGGGTCGCTTCCAGACATGATGTGAAATGCGTGTATTTCCAGATCTATTCAAATATTTTAATGGATATTTCTCACCTCGTTGGCAATAACAGACCTATTGCAATATATTTTTACATCTCAAAATATTTAAATGCAATTCTATCGCAGATATTCAATGGTTTAGGTGACCGCGTAGGTGTGTCAATTTGGGTAAGAACTGCATTATGCCATTTCATTCCATGTTATCGAAACAGCTCCATGTGATAAGTCATGCGTGTTTTTTTTATTCTCTGGCTACGACGTACATAACTGTCTGTACCTTACTGTCGCCACTGGAGCCCCTCTTTTATGTGGAAACCTGTATATCATTAATGCATTTGTTATTTGCTCCATACAATTATGAAAGGGTCTTTTAACTGTTCAAGGACAACTGGCCAATCATAATTACCCTCCATTTGGTAGGATTATGCCAGGTTTGCTGCATACTGGCCCATATCCTGCTCGCAGGAGCCTCGCTCATGCCACTACGCACCCACGCGTGAGAGTTTCGTCGCAGCAGGGTACGTACAGCGTAGCGGAGACTTTGGGGGGCTATATCTTTTCAAGCAACGGTAGATTCACATGAATGATTATATTTAGTTGTCGTAAGTACAATGTCATAATTGAAAAGTACAGGATGGCATTCTAATGTTTACCGGCCTAATTCAGACTAAAGAGTTTTGGAGCAGGTTAGCGCAATAAAAAATGTACCAACACACTCGGGCACCGAACAAGAACTTCCTCTCATTAAAAAACGAGTTCCTACAGCGCACATTTTTACACATTATTTGCGCTAATTACACGTATGCGCGCGTGTTGGTGGCGGAAACACCCCGCAAGGCAACAAGGCAGCAATGGGTACCAGCATGGTTGCGAGTACGAGGTCTCAGCAACGGAAACTAATCCACCACCGCCACCGCCGCCGCCGCCACCACCACCACCACCACCAGCAGCACCACCACCACCACCACCAGCAGCAGCAGCAGCAGCACCACCACCACCACCACCACCACCACCACAACCACTACCACCACCACCATCACCACCAGCAGCAGCAGCACCACCACCACCACCACCACCGGACCCACCTTTCAACACGTAGCCCGCAATTCTTTCAATTAGGTGAACCAACATGAAATGCCTCCCAGAGAAACATCAGTCTTTTACGAGAATCATAACCAATGCGCTAGCTTTTTTCCCGGTGAAAATTTAATACGTATAAGTTCGTTACTTCGTCAACCTACGCGCCTATCTGACCAGGCTAGACGATACATGTCTAACAGAATCGACCGGACTTAGCAAGTATGCACAAATCCAGGTTGACACCTGCATGCAATAAGTTACAAGATTTTTACAGCAAGTCGTAAAACAAGTGCGCAGCTACGTAGAATCATAATCTACCGCGCCATTCTAATAGGCATGTATAAACCAGATCAGGGAGCTAATAAACACAAAAAAACCTGTTCCACACAAAGCTGAGCAAACTATCAAAAAACGCCAATGCCGGTGACGAAGCGTCTTAACCAACAATGGCAATGTTAAACGCTTTATTCAAACCGCAATCCGAGTGCAATTTTAATCTATCAAAATTTGAGGATTAGACGTTTTAGGCGGCATAAAAATCTGTTTGCACACCTGACGGTCTGCCGATACATGAACGCACTACACTGGAATAGTCCGGAAAGCGTGTTACATATTATAGAGGCCTATGTATCGCCAGCACCTATATCAGAGATAGAAATTAACTTTTAATCATGGGTCCATCTGCACTCTCACAAAAGCCCGCTCGCAGCAAAACATTTTGACAGCAATAACGCTATAACTGCCGCAATGGCACAATCTTCTGTATGTTCTCGCATAATGTGATTTTAAAACAGTAAAATCCCACATTGTATTAACAATTTTTAAATATTTTTAGCTCACATAGATTTCAATGAGTCGACAATAATCCAACTCCAAGTGACGACAGGTAGTAATTGAATCGAATTGGCATAATAACTTCTAAATATCTCTCCCGCACTCCCACTCTCACTACACCTGATCTATCTACTTCGTCATCTCTTCGCTCCTGCTATATCTATCTTGCTCCCTCTCTCCCTCTTTCCCCTCTCTCTTGCCTTCTCCGCCCATCTGTCTATTCATCCATTCGCCCATCTATCCGTCCGTCCACCCGTCTGTCCATCCATCCATTCCTCCATCCACCCACCCATCAAACTGCCCACAAACTTACCAACTCATCCTCCTATCTCTTCATCCATCAATTCATCCATGTATCCACCCAACCATCCACCCACATCCCATGCTTCCACCACATACAGGCACGTACGCACGCACGCACGCACGCACACGTACACACACATATATGTATACGACATGAGCAGCTATCATTTATGTAATCCCTATTCCTTTTGTACACGGTATATATTTTCAGTGGGTACAATAAGCGTTTGTAGATGCCATAATAATAGGATTCAATATTGGATAAAAGTGCAACTATAAATGTGGGTATTTACACGCAAAGCTAATAATACAACCCATCTGCGGGAAAAGTCATCAACACATATTAAGATGGTTTGTGAAGGTTAATCTAAAACATCATAGTCAAATAGAAAATTTCATTAAGTGAATTACTATTAGCTAGTACACTGAATATTATTTAAATGTTTCGGGCTTTGGGTAGAGGATAAATGCTCATTGAATAGGGTAATAACGATGAAAACGCATATTTCAAATTAACCACTGCCATGTTGCAAACTAGTCAAAGTATTCAAAAATACCTAAAAGTGTTCATTTGCTCCAAATCGTTAAGATACACTTATATAACATATAGTATAGTATAGTTTTTATAGAAGAATATGGCCTATACCACTTATACGTTTGTTCGTGCAAATCTCAGCACCTTTCCGGCTATCTCAAGCATTTCCATAAACACATTTGTATGACTTATGAATATAAGTTAATACATGACCATAGGTTGATACATAAAGCGTCAAGGAACGTGGCAAACTGCTAATTAGCCCAGTACAACTAATAATATACGTTTCCTACTAAATTCTCTCTCTCTCTCTCTGTCTCTGTCTCTGTCTCTGTCTCTGTCTCTGTCTCTGTCTCTGTCTCTGTCTCTGTCTCTG